CAGCCGGGGCGATGCTGGGGCATCTGCACAGCCCCGTTACCCTCAGCACAAAGCCTGGGGCCCCCCCATGTCCCTCGTCACCTGCCCCATCCAGCCCCAGTGACCGGTCCCGGTGCCAGCAGGGCGTCAGGCGCAGGGCGTGTAGGATAAATACACACCCGCTCTATACGTCTCGCTGCCTTTCCGGCACTGCAGCTCAAAGTCTATTTTTAAACTCCCTCCTTTATTACACACGCCAGCAGATAGCGACGGCCTGCCCGCCCCCATATCGCGGGTGCCGCTCTCCCTGCACGTCCCAGCGAGCACCCAGCACGGGGACGGGGCACGGGATGGGCAGCGGGCACCCACCTGCTCCTCTCCCCATCAGCGGTGGGGTGTCTGGCCGTGCCCATGCCCCTGTAAAGCAGAAACCATAAAGGGGTTCATCCCAGTGTGTCAACGGGATCTCAGCTGTGCTCTGAGCCCGGGGTTTACAGGAGGTAAAGGAGCTGAGGGCGCAGCATTGCCAAATCCACCTGCAGCCGGTGTGGGCACCTCCAACCCACCGCAGACCTCGCGGGGCTCTCCATCCCCGCCCCGCATAGCGCAGCGCTCGGGCACGTTTTGCTCTGCCCCACAAGCACCGTTAGCAGGTGAGGGGGGGGGGAAGAGCCACTGGCTTTTGGTTTTCAAGCCCTGGTCTTCGTTTTACATCATGAGTCATGTTACGTTCTGAGCTGAGTAACTGCTGGGGCTATTTTTACTCCAGCTCGGCAAGCTTCCTTCTCGCTGCCACCACCGCCACCACCGCCGCTCGCCGCGGACCCAGGGGCAAAGGATGGGGACACGGTGAGTGGCGGGGGCTGCGGGGCTTGGGGTGGTGCGGGTGGGGAGGGGGCACGCCGCCCAGCTCCCTGAAACGGAGACGAAAATAGCCTCTGCCTCGTCAGAAATGACAGCTGACCCGCGATGCGCAACGCACTCACACACACACGTACGTTTGTATTTATTATCCTGTGAGAGAGGGGAAGGGGGGAGGGAGAGAAATTCCTTTCAGGTGCTATTCACCAGTCTGGAAAAATAAAGAAGGAAAGCAGAACATTTTTTCCTTTCATCAAAACAGGAAAGAGAGGGGGAATGGGGTGGGGAGCAGATCCATAGACATAATGGATGGTTGCCAGAGTAAGGAAATTGTTCCCTTCTACCCTAAACTTGGGGGAGGGGGGAGATAGAGCTGGTGGTGCGAGCAGGGAAGGCTGCATCCCCTCCTCCCCACTGTATGCCTATGGGAGAGAACTGGGAAATCAGCCCCCCTGGCTTTGCCTTCCCTCTTTGCATCCTGCTGGACCCGCAGGGGTGGCGGTGCCTTTGCCTCCTCCTTCAGCCCAGGGCGCAGGGCAGCAGCCGCAGCCAGCACAAGCCCTCTCCCCTTGCCAGGCTCCGTGCTCTGCCCGATGGATGGCTGTGTCTGCGTGCTCATCCCCCTTCGTTTCTGTCACGTTTCTGCTGGGAAAGGGCGAGATGGTCGGCAAGGTGAGGGGCAGGGGGAGCTTCACCGCCGCCGTGGAGAAGGAGAGGCGCTGGAGGAAGCCTGGCAAGTGCCATCAGATGCCTGCTCGCCTGGTGACACCTTCCCCTGGGGTCAGGTTCTCTGTGAGAGCTTTACTCATCCTTGGAAAGCACTTTCCCTGCCAGCGCCAGGGGCGAGGAGGCGAATGATGCAAGCCCTCGATGCCCCGAGGCCCTGCCTTTCTCCAGCCCCAGATATAAACAGCAGGCCGCCCGCCTGTCTCTGTCTCCTTCCTTCGCTCCTCTTCCCCCTTCCTCCTGCCTTCCTCCCTGACTAAACTCAGCCCTCAGGAAGCCGAGGCAGCTCCCATGGAACCCCCGGGGCCGTATGGAGCAGCTGCCCCCATCCTGATGGCCACTTTGGGGATAAACCTGAAGGAACCAGCCCCCGTGGTGCAAACCCAATGCACCTCCCGGTGCCACCAGGCGTAGAGCTTACTCTGGGTGCTCGTCACGGCTGCCCCCCTCCATTGACGGCTGCGGCAGCCCCAAGGAGGAGGTGTGGGGATTGCTCATCCTTCCCCTGAACCCGCAGCAGGCGCAACACCTAGGCTAGGTAGGGCGAGTGGGCGGGCTGACTACACGCCGGCTGTCAACACCTCCTAATTTCTTTCCATTGATTGTTTTTTCAAAGTGGAGGACTCGTCACGGAGAGGCTGAGGCAGCTCAGCTGTTCAGACTGAGTCTTGATTTCCATTGTAAGCCCTGTTTTTCTTCCTACTCTTTCACAAGTCTGAAAAAAAAAAAGAAAAAGAAAAAAAAAAAAGATATTGCCCCTCACGTCGTGCTCCTGCGGATGGTGGCGAGTAGATCATTTTTAGTAGTTCATGAGATGAGGGCATGGCAGCCTTGCAGCAAGGAGCCGTGTGCCACCCTAGGACACGCGCTGCCCTCCTCTCTCGTGACAAGAAAATAGCCAAAGGGATGAGCTGTTCACAGGTTAGGGAGCTGCCACGGCGGTGAAAGTGTTTTAATAAGAAACCCTGCTGCAGGCCCTTACAAAATCCCTGTTTTCATTGTGGTTTGCCTGAGGGGCCTTTGCCAGCTACCGCAGTTGCATCTGGGCCTTGTCAATTTGCGATGCTCCGAGGGGACATTTTTATGGTCCGGCCACTCCGTGTAGCCTCGAACCATCTTCCCACCATAATACCACGGCACCGGGCTTCAAACCCTTGTCCTGTGACATCTGTGACCACGATGACCTTCACCAGTGGGCCTGCAGGCCTCTACCCCACAGGCCACGTGAGGAGACGATGGAGTCATCCCCGTTAGATTTAGGGGCTCACAGGGTAGATCACAAACTAATTTCACACAAGCAAGAGACTAAGAGGAACACCTAGCCCAGGACGTCGTGGTTTGGAGCGTGTGTGACCCTGTTGGGTTCAACACCAATGATCTCAGCGGCGTGAGGTTGGCACGGCCTGAATTTCAGTACCTCACTGGAGAAAAATCTGTCCCTATCTTAAAAGCAGAAGGAGCGAGGCAAAGTGGCTGAAGCCCGAGCGGCTCGCATATCGCCTTGCTCTATTTCCAGGCGGGGTCATAGGTAGATGATTAGTCAAATTCCAAACATCCTCTTCCTTGCCGTCTGGAGATTCGACGGGGATTAGCTTTTTGTTTCTGATGTCGAGCTTCTAAAAACTGCCCAGCATCATCCACATGAAAATAAATAACCCTATTTCTATCCCAGCGCGCACATAACGTAGCCGGATATTAAAAAAAAAAAAAAAAAGCACGTAGCCCCCCCAAAAGCAGGCCCTGCAGCAGCTCCTGTTCCTACCAAGCAAGGAAATTATCAGCACTCCTCCCTGCTAGCGTGCTGCTGCATCCTTCTCTCGGCTGGTGCTAGATGTCCCTGCGGAGGAGCCTGCTCAGCCCTCCCACACGCAGGCTGTTCTGCCCTGGCGAGGCAGCCACCGAGCTGTGGGGGACCCCCTGCACAGCCCGGATGAGGTGGTGGGGAGGCAGCCCAGCCTCCCTTTGCCCCTTATGGGCTTTAATGGGGTCAGGCAGGTGCTGGTTTTGCCAACCCAAATCATCAGCATTCCCCTCGCAGCCCACCGAGGAGCTATGGTGCTCCTCGGGTTGGTGCCACCTGGAACGAGGTGACATGGACCAGACCTTTCTAAAACCCTGTTTTTGGGGCCTTCTGCAGATTTCTGAGGAGCTTCAACCCCCAGGTAGATGTTAGGGCAGTATCTCCACCCCGCTGGGGGGGCAGAGAGATGGCTGGCGGGCCAAGATGGAGAATGAGGGGAATTCTAAGAGCGTCCGGAGGAATTTGGGGTGGGACTGGGCTAGCGCAGCTGGAGCATCTAAGGTGAAGTCCTTGCTAAGGTGTCAGGCGATGGAAAAGGGAGCAGAGGTATGCATTGCATTTCCACTTCCTCCCACTCGAGCTTCAGAACTGGGACCGAGCCACCGCGGGCTCGATTTGAGGGACTCCCAGGACACTCCTTATCTCCCCACTCACCCACCTCAGCTGGCCCCGGCTTCAAGAGCTGGGGAAATCTGGTAGCTGTTCCTCATCCCTGGACACCTTGCAAGGTGCACAGGTGAGCACGGGCGCGAGACCGTGTGTGTTTCGGAGAGAATTGGCTGCGTGAGGCTCGCAGGCACCCAGAGAGCCTCAGAGAGCATGTGTGATGCTGCGAGATGAGGCCACCGCCGTGCCGGTGGGTGTACGCATGTGAGAGAGGAAGGGAGAGGGGGAGAGTGAAGGAGAAACACATGGACGCCCAGGGATGTGTGAATGAGACAAAATCCGCACGCAGCCGAGCACGCGAGCGGCTCGAGCAGAAGCCTGCGCGTAGCACGGAGGAAGCAGGGGAAGATGCTTGGGATTCAGAGCCATCGCCTGCCGAGTGCCTGCGGTGCATGACAGTGCAGGAATGTGTCGGTGGAGACCAGGCTGCACAAAGGCGGTGCAGAAAAGCCCTCCTGGCCGTGCCCGCAGCAAGCGTGCAGCTCCACGCCGGGAGATCGCCCATACGTACATGAGAGGGCGTGCGTACGTGTGTTTTTGCAATAGGATATGACTCTTTCTTGAACTCACCTGTTAGCAGCCTTCCCCTCCCCCCCCTCCCTCCCCGAGCAAATATCTGCTTGCTTAATTTCCCTTCAGCTGTTTATTACATTGCGGAGATAATCACACAGAAAAAACACCTCCCGGTGCCACGTGCAACACCAGATTGCCTTGTAGCAACGTTTAAATTTCTCCGGCTTTTTTTTTTTTTTCCTTTTTTTTTTTTTTTTCTCCCCTCTTTCTGCACACAAAGAGACGCAAGCTATTAAAGCCGTATCTCTCCCTGGAGCAAGTGTTGCGAGGGAAGGACTGAGGAACAGGGGCTCCTGCCTGCAATAGCGAGAACCCGGGGCGAGAAAAAAAAAAAAAACAAAAAAAAACAAACTCCCGTGCTGGGAACTCCTCTCTTATCTCTGGCTGAGGAGGAAGGAATTTCTGTCCCCGTTCCTCACGCGATATCCAAGCCACTTTACAAGGAGCAGTATAGCGTTAGCCATTTTTAATTAATTAATCATTCAAATTAGCACACTTTTATTTTGTCAGCGAGGAGCTGCTGCTCCCTCGCTAGATTTTTCGCCTTGATACCCGGCCAAGAGGAGGATGGCAAGTTATGCTCCACCCATCTCTCCTTTATAAAAGCAGCAGCCCCGAGTGCCAGTTTAGTCTCTCTTCCAGCTCGCAGGCTAAAATACAGCTCCGGCGGCTCGCTCTGCTCCCGTTGCATTTCACCTTGTCGGTTTTCTCCTCTCTTGCTGCAGCAGGGTGCGGGAGGCGGCTGGGCTCTGAGGCTTGTCAAGGCACACGGGCGCAGTCTGGAGCAAAAAAAAAAAAAAGAGAAAAAAAACACCAACAAAACAACAAAAAACCACCAAACCCAGGCGTTTGCTCTCACCTGTCTCCAAAACCAAAGCAAAACCTCGCGGCCAAGCCTGCTGCCGGCGTCGCAGAACAGGAGGCACCAAAGCCAGCGCTTAACCTAAGGGGAAGAAATCCAGCTTACAACTTTTCTCGGAGGAAACGAGAAGGCGAGAGGAAGAAAAAGAGAATTTGAAGAGAGAGAAAAAAAATAGAGACACCGAGGAAGATTTGATTTTTTTTTGGATTTGGCACCAAACTTTGGAAGAGTTGATTATTATTGTTGTTGTTGTTGTTACTCCCTGCGTATTTTTATTTTTTTCCCCCCTCTAAGAACACTGAGGCGTCGCTGCCCGTCCGCAGAAGCTTTTCTCCTCGGACACGCATGCATTTGTGCAAGGAAGAAGAAGGAGAGGGGAAATAACATGCGGGCCACCTGGTAGAGGAGCAGCCACCGAGGCACCGCCGGCGGCACGGGGGGACGCGGACCCTCGGATGCCCGTCACCCGCCGGGACCGCGGCTTGTCCCCAGCCACCTTATGAGATAGCAAAGCGGCCCAGGAGCCACCCAGACCCTCCTCAGCCCCCTTCGCCCCTCTTCGCCCAGCTCCTGTAGCTCCGAGGGGCGATGGGGACGCGCGGAGCTTGAGGCCGCGGGGGTCGCCGCGGGGGGCTGGCTGTCAGCTCGCAGCTCTTCCCTGCCTTGCCGGGGCTCTCCGTCCATGTGCCCGCAGCCGGCGGGGCCTGAAGCCGGGATGAATTTCGGCGTGCTCTTGGCCTTCGTCCTCTCCCTGCCCCTGGCCAGCCTGGAGGTGAGTTGGCTCCATGCAGGTGCCCAAGGGGGGCTCGGGGAGAGCGGCGGAGCGGGGCCGGGGCGGGGCGAGGCGAGGCGGGGCCGCCTCATGGCGGGCAGCCCCCGGCCCTCCGCCTCCCCTCAGAGGGGCTCGGAGGGGCTGCCCCGACCCCTTTAGGGTGGCCTTTTGGGGTCGGGGGGAGGCTGGGAGCCGCGGTTGGTCCCCTAAATTTGTCGGCTGTGAGGGAAGGGGGTGGCGCTGCACCGGGGTGAGGGGTGGGGAAGGGGGTGCTGTGAGGGGTGTAGCCGAGGGGGTGAGAAAAAAAGGGAAAATAAAAGGGGTGCGGGGAGATTCTGGCTCAGGGATGGGTGCTGCACGCCATCGTGCCCCGCTGTCCCTGCCACACACGCTGCTGGGGGTGTAGGTGGGCACCATGAAGGACAGACAGCAGTCCCCCACCTGGAGGGTGCAGCCACCTCCCCTCCCGCAGCCCGTTTTCCAGCCTTTCCCCCCCCAAGAAGCACAAACAGGGGAAAAAAAGAGCCGCAGGACCCCAAATCCTGCAGCCGGGATCCGCCATCCGATCGCAGGCAGAATTTAAGCAGGGTGTGAAGCCCCCTCACAGCCCGCCACAGCACTCAGGTCCCCACCGCAGCCCTACCCGAGGCGACGGAGCCGTGCGGCTCGGCTGCTATTAGGGTCAGGAAACCTCCTTCCACCAAAACTTTCCTCCCCTTTGCATCGTGTCTGCCCCTTCCTTCCCCATTTTGGGGGAAGGCGGCGGGCGCGAAGCCTGGCATCGCCTCCTCACGGGCCCGCCTCGCCCTCGCCCCCGGCCGCAAAGGGAAGCAGTTGGAGCCGCGGGCTGCCCGGTGGTTGGGGTTGTTTGGGGCACAGGAGGGCATTTCCTCCGCGGGTGGCTTCTCCTGTGCTGCACCAAGCGTCAGCTCTGCTTGGAAGATGGGGGAAGATGCCTCTGATCCCAGGTGCTGCTGCGGTGGGCTGTAACCGCGTCAAAACGCCAGGCAGCCTGGTAGGGTTAGAGTTTGGGGGTTCTGGCTCCGGCCATGAGGTTTCTTGGGAGGAATAGCGATATTCACCGTTTCACTGGGGAACCGAGAAGGTTCCCAGTCGAGCTGCTGCCTACAGCCAGTCCCCTCACCCAAGGGTGGCATGTCACCTCAGCACCAGGGGTACAGCATGCCCCCGACGGCGCTGCTGAACAACAGGCATCCTCCAAAGGGGGTCTGCACCCCTTCTAAAGGCGTGAAGGTCCTGGAGGAGGCTCGGCAACCCTCCCCGATCTGCAGCGACCTGAGCTGGAGTCTCCCGAGTCCCTCTCCCTCCTCCATCACACCCACCTGGAGCTGGAGGGCCCTGGAGCCCGTCCAGCGGGAGGGAGCGCGCGCCTCAGCGGGAAGGTATTTGCCAGTTGGGAAGCGGGGATGCGAAGCGATTTGCATTCGCCCCGCGGGCTGCAATAGTTGCCTTGCAACATTTACAGAGATGATGGGCTGAGCCAGGCGTGGCTTTGCCTGGGTGAAGCCCTGTTGGCAGCGCTTTCTGGAATTCCCGAGGAATGGGGTGCGGCCGGGCGCTCGCTCACGGCCCCGCTGTGCCCCTTCCCGCTGGGAGCCTGCGGGGCGCTTGCCACCATCGGGTAGGGGCAAGGACAGATCGGGGAAGCCAGGAGGAATGGTAACCGGAGGGATGATGCTTTTGGGTGTCGGGAAGGGAGCGAGGAGGCAAGTGGCAGCGGGAGGGAAGGACAGTGGTATCTGCGCTGCTGCCGGCACACGGCGGGCCGCCGCCTTGTAAAGGGGAAAGGAAAAATCAGGCTGTGTTTTAGGAATGTGGGCTAGGTCAAACCTTAGGTTTGAGGCTTTGAAGGAAGCAAAATGTCAGCTGTCAGGTCGCGTGGAAGGGGTTCGTGTGAGGAGGGCTGTGTCTGCATGCGTGGTCCTCCGACAGCAGCCCCCGTGCTGTGTTCAGTGCTGCCAGGCACTGCAGTGTCTCCCCATCAGCTTCAGCATTAAAAAAATGCTATTTATATGATTTTTTTTTAATTTTTTTTTTTTTTTTTTGCCTGGCTGATCACTCAAGGCCCCACTGCTGAGATGCCCTGCTGCGGTCAGCGTGGAGATGCTCAGGAAAATCCTCTCCCTCCTGGGCAGAGGAGTGGGTAGCTGGGTGCTGCCCTGCCCTCCTGGTGCGGTCCCACGTAGGTCTGTAGGCACAGCACCCGAAAAACAAGAGGGCTGGGGGAGCCCTCACCTTGGGAGCATCCTTGGCTGCTTTCTCCACCTCACCTCTGCTGCCAGGGGAGATGCTGCAGATCCTGCAGCTCTTGCCCACGAATCGGAGCTTTCAGCTCCCCCAGTGCTCGAAACTATACATTGGCAGAAAGCTCCAGAGGTGCTGGGGCTTGTGGCGATGCTGATTTTGGGAGAGCACGCATGTGTGGGGACGGTGACATAGGACGGCACGGGCTCGTGGCAGGGCACTGCCATCCGTGTATGGGTTTGCAGCAGCCCAAGCTGCTGACGTCTGGGAGGAGGGAGGCGAAGCTGCCACCCCATGAGGCCCCGGCCTCGCACCCACAACCTGCCCAGGGCTCCGCTGCCTGCTGCAGAGACGTGCCGTGGCACCAGGAGAAGGGAGGGGACGTCCCTGCGGGTGCAGTTCGGGGGAGAGCCAGGCACTGGGGGCAGAGGGAGGGAGGGAAAAACAAACTGGCTTTCTTCTAGGAATTCAGTGGCCTCGCAGGAATACGAGGCCAGGCCTTGGGGCACTTGACAGCCAGCCAGGAGTCCATTGAGACAAAAGTCTTCTTTGATCTGCCGCGCAGTTAAAAAAAAAAAAAAAAAAAAAAGGGAGATTGTTAACCTGCGTTAGACAAATAACCCCAGAAGAGTTGCTGAGCAGGAAAAGCACCAGCGGCTTGGGCTGTGCTGCCGGGGGTCCCCCCTCCTGCACCGCTCCCCCACCTTCTGACCCCATGGCACCCGCTGGAGGAGGCTGGTGGCCCTCTGCTTCCCCACCGAGTGCCCCGAGCCTCCCAGCCCCGGGGCTGCTCTTCCAGAGGCCAAAGGGAGCAGGGACGAGCCGCAGCTCGTGTCCGTGAAGCCGCCTCTTGGGCACAGTTCTGCAGCGCGGGGGGGAAGGAAGGAGCTTCCCAGGCTTGCAGATGTCAGATGCAGAGCTGCGGCACAGACCCCGGGGAGGAGGATAGGCTTGTGAGCTGCGTGGGCTGCGGATACGCCGTAGCCATGCCGATAGTATCTGCCACGGGAGAGAAATTGGCACCCGAAACGCTGCCGTGAGCAGGGAGCGGAGCTCGTTCCTGCGGGCGGTGCCCAGCAATGCAGCCCCCCGATCCCTGATTCCTCCCTGCTTCCCCCCCTCTCCCGGCTCCCTGAGCAAGGTGACAGCTCCCGGCTCGTCTCCAGAGCCACCGAGCCTCGTAACACCTGCCCACGCTCTCCCCCGGCGGGTGCCGGGGTTTAAAATAAAAAAAGTTCCATTTCCTACACGTATTAAGTGTCAGGAAGGAGCAGGGGCAGCCATGCACGGCGGCGCTGGCACGCAGATGTGCCGGGCTGACAGGTGCAAACGCCAAAACGCCTGCATTTCGCCACCCAGCACCGGGTGCTCCCGCTTCTTCCTCGCACCACGGGGGTTGTCAGAAGGCATCTTCATTTCGCAGCCCCTCAGCGAGCCCTGAACCATGCGGGCTTCTCGCTCGCCGGGCATTCGTCGCGGTGAGAACCCCCCAGTGCCCAAAAGCCAACGCGTGGCCACCCGCCTGCTGCTTTGCCTCGCCTGGGAGCTGAAAGGAAATGCTCTGCGGGGAAGGGATAGCCGTAAGCCGGTGGGACCACACACGTGCCACCAAGTGCCCGTAAAAAAAAAACTCACAGGAAAATCCCGGCGGGGTTCGGGAGCCAGCCAAGCTCTCCTCTCAGTTACAGGGCACGGCCTGGGGCTGCGCCTCCGGCGGCATCCCCGCACCCGGCTGAAAGAGCAGCTTTTCCGCATGAGTAGCCCTGAATGAAGAGAGCTAGGAGCTAAGCAAACACTTCGGCCAGCACTTCCCTCCGTCTCTTTCTCTAGCCTTTCGGAAGTAGGGTTTAATCAGCGCTTGCTTTCCCACACGACTCCTTTGTAGTCGCGCTAAGTGCTGCCACCGGGACCAATTCAAGGCAGGTGCCAGCGCCAGAGCCCCAAGGAGATGGATGGCGTTGCACCTGCCTGCGCAAACCCTGGCTTCGGCCCGCCCCCCGACGTGTCCAAACCTTGTTTCTTCAGGTTTTTGGCACCCACACGCAGCATCCCCCAAGCTCCCACGTGTTTTTTATTCACCCCGCAGCCCCCAGCCCCCTTTCATCCCCTCCCGGCGGCGTTTGCGGTTTGGCCGCGGGCTCATAGCGGAGCAGCGAGCTCAGCTGCGAAGGTCAATCTTCCTCTCCACCCCCCCCAGCCTTCTTTTTTTTATATATATATATTTTTAAAGAGTATGCAAATGCTGGGTATTATTGGGCCGCTGTGGTTTGAGAACACGCGCGCGCACACGCACACGCACACGCTCCTCTCACAAAGCCCGCAAGGGAGTTTCATAACAGAGGGAAATATTGGGGAGGTTTGATCTGATAGCGCAAGGGAAGTCTGCGAAAACGCCTGAGCTGCAGGCAGCAGGAATGAGAGGCCACCTGGAGAAGCCATCCAGCACCGGGGGAGGAAGCCTTGCTGGCCGCTCGCATCACTTTCAGGGCTTCACCACGGAGCTCAGGCATTTGCGGGCTTTTTTTGGTCGACCAGCTGCTGCTTGGGTTTTGGGCTCCTGCTTTGGTGAGGGCACATCCTCCTCCGCCGGTTCTGTTGTGCCTCCCCCTCCACCTTGGGTTCCCCCGCTCGCTCTCTGTGATGCGTGGTTTGCAGATCACCCCTCTAATGCTGCTTTTTCTCCTTTTTTTTTTGTCATCTGGCAGGGGGACCCCATACCCGAAGACATTTATGAGATCCTGGGTGGCGGCTCGGTGCGCTCCATCAGCGACCTCCAGCGCGCCCTGCGGATAGACTCCGTAGGTAAATCTCCTCTTCGCCAAACACTCCTCTTATTCCTCTGAACTCTCTGGGGGAGGTGGGGAGAAAGGGGCAGTCCGTTTTCCAGCGGCCACACTACCAGCAGACCCCACTGCAAACACAGGAGCCACTCAGGGGCCGAGACCTGGGCATTTACACCTTTAGTCCCCATGAAACCGAGGGGAGGGAGGCAAGTCGACGCCTTTTTGTGTCTCCTAACCTCAGGAGGCGAGGAAGCGCGAGGTGGACGCGGGCTGGCGGAGGAGAGGAGGGCCGAGCAGGTTGTCCCGTTGAGGGTTTAGCTCGCAGGAGAGGCCACGTGCCCGGGGAACGAAGTCAGGCCTCGTGCCCCGAGATAAGAGCCCCGGGGGCTGCGGTGCCGCGGGGTCACTTGGCGCAGGGCGGCGAAGCGCCGAGGGGTCGGCACGTGTGGGAATTGGAGCACGCGCCACGGCGGCTGGGCCGGCCCAGGGATTTATTTATAAACGGTCTCTTCAGAGCAAATTCCTTTCTATTCTAACCCTGCTCCCGCCCGTCGTCGTCCCCCCGGCCCCCCCCCAGCCCAGCTCGCCTTCTCTCTCTCGTGTTTTGTCTGTTTGGAGCTTTGTAATCCTTGCCGAGACACTATCTACGGGGGAACAGAATTTCCTGCTTTTGTTTCCTATGCCAGTCCAACCACTGGCGCAGTCTCAAAAGCATTCCCGCTGCCTTTCAAAACGGCCCTGGAGGGGCAGGGGGGGGGAAAACGCGAGGGGGAGGGCACCAGCTGCGTTCTGCTATTGTTTGCCTTCGAAAGAAAGAGGCGACGAGGCTCCCCAGCACCACCACGGCCGCTCCCTGCCCTCGCCCCGCTCCCTCCTCCTCGCCCACCAGCCGCACAATGGGGCAATTTCCAAAATTAGCCCAGCCGGATTGTCCCAGGGCCAGTCCCCCCCCCCACCCCAAGCCTCTTCAGCGCCGACCCGGGGTGTAGAAGGACAACCTGGAGAGGGAGGGACCCGCTTTTCAATAGGAGATTTGTTTCAAGTCAACAGTTGTTGCTATTTTTTTTCCTTCCCTCTCCTCTGGTGGCTTTAACCTTTGCGCAAAAGGCAGCCCCCACCCTCGCCTGACGGCGTGCCAGGCTCTGCAGGATGAAGGGGTGGGGGCGATGCGTGCAGCCCCTCATCTCCCGCTGCCCAAGGAACAGATCCACCTCCATCAGGGCCACCAGCTGCCCTCAAGGCCGAGGAATGAAGCAGGGCTCCCTCGTCGGCTTGGAAAGCCCGGGGGTATGGCAGCAGGCTGCAGAGCTCACTTCAGGCCCCTGGTACACATCCCGCATCCTCCAGCAGCCACTTGGGAGCTGAGAGCAACGTCCCTGCTCCCCCTGATAGCAGGGATAGGGCCGAGGAACAGGGATGGGATGCGCTAGGTGTGGGAAGCCAGCTCCGCCGCGCATCTGATAAGCAGAGATCTTCCCCTGGCCCCAAATCCCCTGGAAGCGAATTGCTCCCTGGCTGCTGACGTCCATTCGGCTTCCTTCAGCTGCGAAAGCCGGCCGCAGAAGGAAGGAGCTGGGGCTGGGTGGGAGCTATCTCCGCGCGCGGCCATTGTCCCCAGCTCCGGAGGGGCCGCGAGGCCGAGTGCTCCGTGGGGACCGCGGGCACTGCTCTATTCAGCACTTCCTATGGGAAAAAGCCTCGGGGCGGGGGGGACCTGCACAGAGCCGGGCTCAGCGCTCGCTGCCTTCCTCTCCTGTCGCTCACGGAGCTACCTTCCAGCTCCCGCGGTGCAGCAGAGGGGAAAAAGGGACATTTCAGCCCCACTTCCAGTTCTGCTGCCCTAAAACTGACTCTGACACACAGGGGGTGAGGGCTGGGAGAGAGACCCATCACATTCACGACAGGTTTATTCCTCTGAGCCGTGCACTGAGCAAAGAGCAGCCCCCAAATCTCTGTGTCCCGGCATGGCTGTGGCCTTGCTGGTGGATTTCTACCTTGTGTGATATCTGGGGGGCATGGGCACAAGCGTCTGCCTTCTCCTCCTGCCCTTCCCCGCTGCTACCAGCTCGTGTCCTTCCCTTTGCAGAGGAGGACAGCTCCAGCCCGGACCTGAATGCAACTCATCCCGGTCCAAACCCCGCGTCCCTGGCTCGAGAGAGACGAAGCCTGGGTGAGTGTGGGGTGCTGCAGGGACGTGTGCGGAGGGCAGAGATCGCTGTGCACGTGGAGGTGTGGACAGAGGGGAAAAAGGGTCTGGGGCTCACGCGGGAGCTGGGTGTTAAACCCCAGCAGGGCAGGAGAGGGAGTCTGGAGCTCTGCAGGTTGCTCTGCTTTGGCTCAGCCCACGGTGCTGAAGGGCTTTCACCTCCTACCGTGGTGAGGAGCATCGTGGCAAGGCTCCGGGTGGGTGGGCGACGGGGAGAGCAGCCTGCGTGTGTGTGGCAGAGCCGTGCAGGCTCTCTGCTTTTCCCACTGGAGGTGGCTGCAGCTGCTCAGCCCGTTTCATCCCCCCCCCCTCTCTTTCTCCGGGCCCTCCGCAGACGCCCTGGCAGCGGCCGAGCCAGCTGTCCTCGCCGAGTGCAAGACGCGGGCGGTGGTCTTCGAAATCTCCCGCGCCATGGTGGACAGCACCAACGCCAACTTCGTGGTGTGGCCGCCCTGCGTGGAGGTGCAGCGCTGCTCCGGCTGCTGCAACAACCGCAACGTGCAGTGCCGCCCCACGCAGATCCGCGTCCGGCACGTCCAGGTGAGACAAAATGCTTCTCCCTCCTCCTGCAGAGCTCCTCCCAAACCCCAAAATCCATCGGGTCTCGGGTGCCGGGCTCACACCGCTGCCTGTTCCCTGCTGCCTGTGCTGAAAAAGCTTCTCCTCCTGAGCGGGTCCAGCAGCGAGCAGGCACCTGATGGCAAACCTCCTGCTCTGCTCCTCCTGCCTGCCCCTCCGCTACTCCTGATCTTCTCACAGCTTCCTCCCAGACAGCTTGTTTAAAAATAATACGCATCCCGCGCTGATCCCCTGCCCGAGCCCTAAGAGAGACTCCCCCAGGCAGAGGTTGGCCGGCAGAGAGGTTGCGTTCACGCAGCCCTTTTCGTCAGGAAATTCCTTTCTCAGAAAAGCCGGGCTGAATGAGGGAAAAACGTGGGGAGGGGAGGGGGGGAGCAGGAGTTGTTTTTGTGGAAAAAAGCGAGCGAGAGGTCAAAAGCCAGCCAGAAAAAGTGACCTGGAAATGGTTTCTTTGAGGACAGAGGTCTCCCCATTGTTTGGCTGGAAGTGTTTGTCTAGCGAGCAGCGTGTGGTCTGAAGCGTGTGGAGTGGGCTTTCAAGGAAAGATAAACAGCCTGGCCGCCGCGCTGCTGCCGAGGGATGCTGCTGGGGCAGTGGGTTTGGAGGAATCCAGCCCCGGAGGCGCAGCGGGGCCGGTATTTATAGCTCGCGGAGCACTTTCGGGGACTGTGGTGGCGTTAGATAAGGCGAACGGGGTCAGGCCCGGCCGCTGCTGGAGTGGGAGGACCCCCCCTCGTGCCCTGCGGTGGGCTGCGGAGCCGGGAGCCTTCCCTCTGAGTCAGCACTGCTGGAGAGTCCGAGGGAATTTCCAGAGCGCCGCCTTCCCCCTGCAACACCCGGCTGAGGGCTTCAGCCCGGCGAGTTATTAAAGAGCTGGAGACAGATTCAGACAGGCCTGCCGAAGCGGTGTTTGCTCGCATCAAGCCCGAGCTGTTCTCCCTCTGCCCTTCCCGCGAGACCCTGCGGCAATTCATTCTGGCCACGAACTCGGGTCCCCACCATCCTGAAGGAGGCCGTGCTGGCCCCGCACGCCCCCTGCTTCTGCGTGTGGGCAGCCACTCATCCCCTTCCCCAGCACCAACGAGCTAGGATCGGGGGAAGCAAGCAGTCACATCCAAGCTTGCCTGCTTTAGGGCTTCTGTGTTCGTGTGTGCAAAATCAGCTCCCGTACACACCACCCCTGGCCTTGAACCGTGCTCCATAAACTGCCTCCTGGCCCTTTAGGAAGGGAGCCAGCACGCACGGGCGCTGATTATTTTCGCAGAGCCGGAGCCACAGCCGCGCTCATCACTCGGCTGCGCCTCTCTTCCAAATAGGTGAACAAGATCGAGTTTGTCCAGAAGAAGCCAAAATTCAAGAAAGTCGTCGTGCCTTTGGAGGACCACGTGCAGTGCCGGTGCGAAGCGGTGTCCCGCCAGCCCCCCAGGAGCAGCCGGCCAGCGCCACGAGAGCAGAAACGTAAGGATTTGGGCACGCCTGGCACGGAGACAGGCGTGAGAAGAGAGGCTGGGGAAGAGGGGAGCGAGCCCTGCGCTGGCTTAAATCCTGAGGACGTTTCCCAGGGTGTCTGCCTGCCAGCAAAGGGCTGACAGCGAGGGAAAGGAAGGTGAGGGGTGAGGAGAAGGACATGGTGGGGAAAGGCAGAGGGCAGAGACTGCGGAGGGCAGAGGGCAAGAAAAACAGATTGCAGAGCTCTTTGTTGATGGTGTGTGGGGAAAGGCATTTGGACGTGACCCGGTGTCCCCTCGCTGTACTCTCTCCCCTCTGTTTTGGCAGGCTTGTCACCGTCGTTCACCACAGCCGCCGTCTCGCAGAGGAAGCGGGTACGCCGGCCGCCGGCACAGAAGAGAAAACACAAGAAGTACAAGCATGTCAACGATAAGAAAGTGCTGAAAGAAATCCTCGTGGCATAGAAGTGCTGGCAGGGGAGAGAGAGCACAAAGCAGGTAACAGCGAGCTGCTCTCCCAGCCGGGAGAGGTGTTCCCCCGGGACAGGGCACCTCAGACACCTCCCGCAGCAGCTCGCTCACCCGGGTGTGAGAAAAGCAGGGCAGCAGGAGAGGGAAGGACACCGGGGCCCAACACGTGCGCCCTATTTATGGCTTTATGGCTCTCTGCAGAGGCAGCGGGGTCACGCTGCAGCCCTGCCTTGATGTCAGGCTTCAGCCTCCCCTTTGCCTCCCTTAAAGGCAGGCAGCAAGGCTGGCTTCTCTCTGCACCTAAATCCCCTCGGGATCCCTGTTATTCTTCTCTCCCGTGGAGCAGCTCCCGTTCTCCTTTCTCTATTGATTCTCCGTTGAAAGCAGAGAATTAATGTTGCTCTGGGGATCCCTTTTCCTTTTCTTTCATTAGCTGGGTTGGCAGAAAGACGGAAAAGCTGCAGTGCTTTTTGGTTCATCCCTCTCCTAGCAGGAAGCCCGCACGCATAAGAAAGGTCATACCAGGGGAGAGGAGAACTGGAATCTCGGGCAATAGATCTGGACTTTGTCAGGCCAGGGTCTGATTCTTCTCTCCCTGACTTGTGTAAACAGGAGTAGTTCCCTCAGCAGCAGAAGAATTTTACTGCTACAAGCAGAAGGAAAATAAGCACTGGTTCCTCACGAGAGAGGGAAAGGCGCAGAAAAGAAAGAAGGAGTAATGTGGGCACAGCACCCGGAGGCAGAAAAGGAGGCTGAAAGCCCTGGCCTGTGACTGCAGCCCCAGCCCTGCCGCAGCTCATTTTGCATTCCCATCCCTTGCCTCAGGACAGGGAGATGACAGGCTTGTGCCCTGTGGCCTTGCAGGATCAGGGAACAAAGGGCACCAGTTTTGGGATTGTCATTCCCACGCTGAGCACCACAAGGGCTCGGATCATCCCGGGATCCTCCCGGCCAGCCCGCGGTTCCCAGGGTACGAGTGATGCAAACCCACGCGAATTTCAGCTCTGGCTCGAGCTGTCTGGGAGAAAAAATAGAGAAGGTCAAAAGCCCTCCCGTGCTTCTAATTTGGCACTCGAACACAAACATTTCCAGAGGAGAACAAGGGAGAGGATGGGAGCTGCAGGGGCAGAGGGTTACATACTCTAATGCCGTGCCTGTTTTTGTTTCGCTTCCAGGTTTATTTAATATATTTGCTGTATTGCCCCCATGGGGTCCTTGGAGTGATAACTTTTCCTCTTTGTCCGTCTGCCTCAACGACTGATTCAGGCGGCAAATGGTGCTTCCCTTTCCATCAGTGGACCTTCTCCCACCAAAGCCTCTCCCTCCTTTCATTTATTAACGATATCCATTTTTAGAAAAACAAAGAAAAAGAAAAAAAAGGACAAACACAGAATATATATATAAATATATATATATATGAGAAAAGAACAAAAATGAAACCGTGATCCCCGACAGCCACAACACGCGACGAGGACAGGACAATGCCTTCCCTGCTCCAGGGGACGGGATGGAAAATGTGAAAAGGGAAGTGGGTCCAATTTCTTCCGAGGGGAGGAGAAAAAGAAACGGACGGAGGGAGGAAGGGGCATATTCCTCCTTCTCCTTGTGTTTCTGCTGAGGCTGGGGGGCCCGGCTGAGATCCACACTTGCACTGGACCTAGGCTTCGCCAACAGGCGGATCTCGGACTGCGAGCGGCGGCCGACGATGGAAAATGCACTAAGGACTTGTATTGCCCTACCTGGACAGATATCTATTTTTAACGTGCGTGCGTATATTTTATTTGAAAAAAGAAAAACCAAAACCACTAAAACACACAACATCTCGGGGAACAGAACAGAAAAAATAAAAAAAAAAAAAGAAAGGAAAAGCAACCACCACCACGAAAACAAAACCAAGAAGCCAAATGCATTCCCCCCCTCCCTTTCCCCTCCTGCTCCTGGTGCTGACTGGAAGGTGTTTGGATCGTGGGGAAGGAGCAGACGGCGGCAGACTCGTCTCCACACCCCCGGCCCCTCCTGAGGGGAGCCGTCTTTGCACATGCTGGTGGAGAACTCAACTTTCCAGGCTCGGACTCAGATCTTATTTTTTAAAATTCGCTCCGTATGTGTGCGCGTGTCTCCGTGTGTATATCTCTACATGTGTTTGCGTGTGTGTGTGTGTATTTATACATGCATATATAAATATATATATATATGTTCTTACACGGATCTCATTCCCCAGCGGCGGGGAGCTCGGAGGGGCACGCGGGCGGCTGGAAGAAAAGCTCCCAGTGTCTGCAGAGCCTGCAAACTGGGATGGGATGGGATGGGACAGGCAGACCCCATCTGCTCCCTCCCCGTCCCGTTGCCCTTTTCTCTCGCTCCCCACCAACCCCCCGCCGCAACTTCCTTGCGGGAGGCGAAGCGGCAGCACGACAAGGCCAGCAACAGCCAAACTTAGAAGCATGACTTAATCTCAGTGAGCTGTCCTTGCCTGCTCTGTGGTCCCGAAAGCAGAATCATGTCATTCCCCCGAGCTTTTTAACCCCTTCGCGGGCATCCTGCGCACTGTGCCAGCGCCCTGCGAGTGGCCCTGGCTCTCCCATCTCTTCCCTCGCGTTTTCCCTCTCAGATTCCTTCTGGATTTTACCCATTAGCAAGCCTGCTTAGCTTGGAAGTCGATCCAAGCTGCGGACAGCTCCGTGTAGGTGTAGAGAAAGGAACGAGCATGGCCTTCATGGTTGGCAGCAGCGCTCTGAGGCAGAAATGAGCTTGGGGAGGAACCAAAGCACAACTGGTGGCAGAGGGAGACAGGCTCTGCTTGCAGGGACCAGCTGCACACCCCTGAGTCATCACCAGAAAGGTTACACACAGAAAGGTTGAGCACAATGGGAATTTCCAGCGGCACCACGGGAATCCCACTCTCTGATCCCGCTGGGCCCTGTGGAGTTGCACATGAAGCTGAGCTCAAGCTGGCCCACCAGCCGCTTCTCCCCACGCTCACAGCCCTATGGCAGAGCAAAAACCTGGAAGGAGCCAGGGAAAGGAGGCGAAGACACAGCCTGGGGCTGCTGCGGGTTGTCGGGGGGCTCAGCCCTTGCCCCCTGCCCGCCCGCAGCACGTCTCGCAGCGCTGCGGGGGCTGCACGGCACTGCCGTCCTCCTGCCCCGAGCCCTCAAGTCTTAAGATGCTTCCAAAATGTTTCCTTCAGTTTGTAAAGACGGCGAGGTTTTATTTTATTTTAATTTGTTTGGCTTTTTTTTTTTTAATGTAAGATTAATTTATACTCAGTATTGTATTTAAAGCTGTTAAAAAAAAAAAAAAAAAAAAAAAAAAGGAAAGCGAACCTCTCTCTCAAGCAACATTTTCTCTTCCTTTCCCTGAACTGAATCAAATCCGGGATTCAGCGGAGGCACGAGCAGCTCGGGATTCCCAGTGCCTCCAGTTTCATTTTCAGGACATTTAATCGGAGGTTGCGGGGAGAAGCAACCCGCTGCTGGGAAAGTCCTGCCAGCACCTGCCCGCGGCCCTCCGGCCTCCGCCAGCACCCGGTCTGCTCCGAAATGACTCAGGCGCTGGGGATTTCTTATCGAGAGGTCCCCTTTTTTCTTAGCTGCTCCGCTCGGAGGCACGGCCAGAACCTCCCTGCGCTTTCATCCCGTCTCCGGATTCCTCCTCTTTGAAGGAGCTGGCCCGGTGTTTACACTCCCCAAAGCTGTGCAAACACTCGGCCCGGTCCCTCCTTAGTCACACCGTCTAGACGACGTCGGTCCTTCCCTCCTTCGGAAAGGCTGCCGCTTTTCCCTTTCCCCCGAGCAAGGGAGGTGTTGCGCAGCTGGCAGCCGGGCTTTGGGGCTTTGGGTTGGAGGGAGAAGCCCCGGGTAGAGGGGGACGTGTCCCACGGTGGCCCCGTGCGCCCGGTGGGTCCTGGGGGTGGAGGCGCTGCCCGTGCCAAGCAGGATGCGCAGAGGGAGGAGAATACAAAGAATTTAAAACCATTTAGGAAAAAAAAAGAAGCCCACAAAATGCTTCTCCGAGGAGTCAGGCTCCCCTGCAGCTGTTCACCGCTCGCCTTCACGCAGCCCGTGACCAAGCGGAGCCGTGTCCCCCCCCCTGGGCTGTAATCGGCCCGTGACTTGGGAATTTCCCCTTTTAAAAGGCATCGCCAAGCAGCCTCGGCTGCTCCCAGCTTTCATCTCAGGGGGAGCGGAAAAACGAACCCTCAGGACCCCAAAAAAACAAGCAGGAGCTCCCTTCCCTTTTTGTCCCCCGGCCAGGAGGGTGCACGTGGCTCTCCAACACCATGAGCTGCCCAGGTTTTGGGATTAGAGCAGGTTTGGGGGTGTTATTGCGGTGGAAAAAGCGTTGCACGGTCACGATGGAAATTGTTTGTATCTGACTGATTGACCGAGGAGAGAGAGAGAGAAATTCCTGAATCCCACCCCCCCCCGATGGATTCAGGAATTTTTTCCGCTAATCAAGAAGAAAAACAAAAAAGCGTGCACTGGGAGGGGGCAGGGAGGAAAAAGAGGGGGTCTCCCTGGTGTCCCATAAACCTGGTGGCCACGGACAAAACACGGCAATCGGAGCACAGCCTGCCCTGGAAAGTCTGAGGCAGCGCTGACCAGCGCAGCGAAGGGGCAGCAAGCTTTGGCTGGCCAAGGGTGTTGCGGCACGCCGGCTTTGCCCATCCCGAATTTGTGCTCCCAGAGGATGCACAAACCCGAAAAAGGTCCACAAAGGGCAGGATCAGAGCCCGTTGTAGCCAGGAGAAAGGCTGCGGGTGCGGGTTTCTCCCCGGGGAGGGATGGGGCTGGTGAGAGCAGCCAGCAGCTTCGTTAGCCGGTCCTCGTCTACCTGGGGCCGCCAGGGACGGGCTGCGGCGTGGCTCTGGTTGTGGGGGCTGAAACTGGAGCTGGCTCCTCACATTGGGGTTTGGCACGGACAAAGCTCCCCTGGCTGATGCGAGCAGCCCCATAACCAAATAAAGCATTTTCCCAGTGCAGCCGCCTCCGTTCAATGAAACAGAAAGGAGCAGCTGAACAGGATCTGCAGTTTTTCCCCGTGATACGCATTTTCCCTTTTCCACGGAGAGCCCCGCCGGCTGAGCCGCAACCTATTGTTGCCCTCAGTTATTTCCTTAGGTCTCTGCCGAGGGTCTCACAGCCTGGGGCCAGGAAGGAGCGAGCCAAAGAGCTGCCCCTGGCTTCCCACGCTGGGTGCGCGCAGAGCCAGGTGCCCCCATCGGGTGGGAGAGGTGGCAGCACCAGCGTCTGGCTGGACGCGGTGCTCGGGGTCCGCACGTTTGTTGTCCCCATCCACGGGGCTGCAAATGGACCTGGGGAGCTCATGGGGAGCTGCAAAAATCGGCTCTTGGGAAGCTGAGAGAGCTCACAGCACTCCGAGGGCGCAGGGCGCTGCTTTTGGGGGGCCTTCTTCTTGTGTTCACTTCCACCCCGCACCCAAAGGTCCCCCAGGAAGCCTGGTAGGGGCAAGCATTTTGCCACCTGGCTTCTGCACGCACCAGCCAAGGAAACAATTCTGCAGCTGAAAGAGGAAATCTCGGTCCCGGCTATTTCCAACCCCTATTGTTTGTCACCCAACTCGCGGCCTTCCGAGCGGAGCGGCGGGATTGCGCCACTCTGCATGTGCTTTTCAGACCCTTTAATTTTAGCATCGCAAGAAGGATTCGTGGTATTGAGAAAAGCCCAGTTCTAAGGAAAGAGGAAACCTGTGATTCTGACACTTGACTTTGCCCAAAAAAGGAAGCAGCTCATGGTAGTGACCTAACCGCTTTAGTCATTTGGCTGTAATGCTCAGGGAGCCCAGTGGGTGCCGGGGGGGTTCCCACCCCCAGGACCTGGAGATGCAGCAGGGACGAAGTTCTCAAGAGCCTGGAGCTTCGTGCTCCTGCTCTTTGGAGCTGTTGGGAGCTCGAGTCTCGCTCCTGCCCCTTTTTGTAGGGGTCTTAGGCCGGGCTGGGCTCTGCCCGTGGGCTTCATTCCCTGCCCCAGTGTCCCCGCGGGGAGGGCATCGCTGGGACTTCCCTCGAGAGCCTTCCCGCTCCTGGGGGACATCGCTGCGCCGACCGCTTCCTCAAACGCAGAAGCACGCTCGTTTTTTGGGGTTTTTTCTTTTTTGAAATCTTGCAGATATAGCACGCTTTCAATTCCTCAAAGCCTGGCTTCTGCATGTGACCAGAGGCACTGTCCCCTTCCCTCCCTGTCCCTTCCCCTTCCAGCAGCACACGCGTGCAGCTGGTGGCCAGAGCCAGGGCGTCTCCTTCTCCCTTCTTTCCAGCGGCCCATGAGGCTGCGTCGTGTGGGTCTCATTGAGAAAGCCACGAAACCACGGAAAGGGAGAGCACGAGCACCTGGAGGAGCGAGACCCCAAGGACCTCGCTTTGGCCGGGAGGGAAAACCACCACGGTGTAGCATCCCCATCGGCGATGCTCACACCATGGGGACACGGAGCTGGATGTCCCCAGGCTCGCCAGGGCACCAGCATTGAGGGGACACTCGGTGCGCCCGTGGGTGCCCGCTCCCTGCCACCAGGCTGTTTTGCAGCGCTCCCATCCCCAGCCAAGGCAGGAATGCCAGGAATGCGAAATCCCGGCATAACACCCCCCCCCCGCGTCCCCGTCCCGTCGCAAGAACAGGATATTCGCCTGAGCAACATCCACTCACACACGCCTCGCTATCAGGAAAAAACACTCAGTCAGCGTCTGGAAGGGGCCGATGGGCTGCCCGGCCGCCGGGGCTTCCGCGTGGGGAGGGAGAGCGGGGCCGCGTGGGATCCTTGGCCGTGGGGGGCCGTGGGTGAGCACCGGCAGCAGCCGGGGGAATCCGAAATTTGGGGATTTGTCCTCGTGCTTGAGCCGCCTGGCTTCTCGCAAAGTGACCCCGGGGGGCTCCTTTGGTGGGTGCCCCAAGCGGTGCCAACACATCCCGCTCCCAGCACGGGCTCCGCAAACCCATCCTGTCCCAGGTAAACAGGATCTGGCCGCGCTGCCTGACCTTGTTTACCTCCCCGAAAGAATCTGGCTGGAATTTTCTTTTCTTGTTGTTTTTCTTTTTTTTTTTTCTTTCCTCAGGGCCGGTGAGTCAGCCGGCAGCAATGCGCGCGGCCTTTCCATTCTGACTCACCCCGCTGCCCGCCGCTCCCCTCTGCCCCACGAAGCCCCCCCCTGTGCCCCCCGTGATGTAACCCAGGCCCCGGTGGCCGTGGTGGTGGCGGTGGCGGTGGGGCAGGAGGGAAGCGTGGTGGAGCAGAGTGCTCGGGCAGCCCCCGTGCCAAAACACAGGAAGCACGCCGAGAAGTCACCCCGCGAATTGTCAGCTCCGAAAAAAAAAACAAAAAAAAAAAAAAACAAAAAAAAAACACAACACCAAAGCAAACAAAACAAAACAGAATAATTAAAAAAAAAAAAAAAGGCCTAACCAGAACAATTGCCCAGAAGAGAAAAGAAAAAAAGCAAGAAAAAAAAAATTAAAAATCAGAGGCCAAGAGGGCTGGCCCGGCGCCAGGCCCCTTGTTTTCGTTTCCCAACACAATGCACGTTAAATAATACTTCCTTCTCGCAACACGGCCCTCCTGGGCCGCTCTTGTTTGTCTCGGGGTCGCTGCGTGGGGTGATGGCCCCCTGGCACCGCCAGCCCGCTCCCGGTGCTGCTGGAGAAGAGCTCCCGGTGTCTCCGGGGCTGCTCCCAGCCTCTGGTGCCCGTGGGCAGGATGGGGCTGAGCCGCTCTGCAGGGCGATGTCCCCCGTGTCCCCCCAAAAACAGCCAGCCCGAGCTAAGGAGCCGTGGGTAGGAGCTGGTCACAGCAGTCATAGGATATACGCGGATTTATTGCCAGGTTAAATAAAACAGAATAGTAAAACGTGGGATGAGCCATTTCATGGCATTTCTGGCCATGCTCGCAGCCTGGGGTGAGGGGAAGCCCTTTTCCTCGCCCCTTGGCTCTCCAGGTGCCACTTGGCTGGGGCTCAGCTTTCTTCTCGCAGGGATTTCTCTTCCAGCAAACTGTTGCTGGCACCCAGCTGACTGCGCTCAGGTGTCTGCGAGCTGCAGGAATCCAAGCTAAACTGCTTTGGTTTATCCTGACTTGTCTCCTTAGGCACCTTCTTTGTTGTCACTGTCAATCAACAGCTATCAAGGGATTCATCAGATGCATTTATGTCTCTATCTCTATCATCTCCATCTACCTCACCCACTACCTCTACCCCTACCCCTACCCCTCTACCCTACCTACCTCTACCCCTACCGCTACCTCCTACCTCTACCTCTACCTCTACCTCTACCCTACCTCTAACCTCTACCTACCCTCTACCCCTACCTCTACCTACCTCTACCCCTACATCTACCCTCTCACCCTCTACCTCTACCTCTACCCTCTACCTCTACCCTACCTCTACCTACCTAATCTACCTCT